TATTTTTTTCTCAGTAATACATTAACTGTAGCTTACTGCAAGTTATTTACTTTTAATTCTTTAACTTTATCATTCTTTTATAACAATACAGCTTAAAATGCAAAAAACATACAGCTATATAAAAACATTTTCTCCTTTGTACATCCTTATTCTATATGCTATTTTCTATTTTAACATTTTTTACTTTTTAATATTTTTGTTAAAAACTAAGACACAAACATACACATAACACAGAGTCAGGATCATCAATGACGCTGTCATCCACCTGTACATCTTGACCCACTGAGAGTTCTTCAGAGGCAATAGCATGCATGGAACTGTCATCTTCTAGGTTCATAATGCCTTCTTCTGGAACACCTCTGGAGGACCTGCCTGAGGCTGCTTTACAGTTAATTTTTTAACAAGTAGGAGTATACTCTAACATAACAATAAAAATATAGTAAATACATAAATCAGTCACACAGCACTTTAGTATAATCATCGAGTATTCTGAACTGTACATAATTGTGTGTGCTATACTTTTATATGACTGGCAGTGCAATAGGTTTGTTTACAACAGCATCACTACAAACACATGACTAATGCATTTTGCTAAGACATTGCAATGACTACAGCATCACTAGACAATAGGAATTATTTCAGCTCCATTGTAATTTTTTTTTTTTGGAGACAAGATCTTACTCTGAGAACCAGGCTGCAGTGCAGTAGCATGATCATGGATCACTACAGCCTCAAACTCTCAGGCTCTGGAGATCCTCTCACCTCAGCCTCCCAAGTAGCTGGGGCCACAGGCACCTACTACCATGCCCAGGTAATATTTTGGATTATTTTTGTAGAGACGTGGTCTTCCTATGTTGCCCAGGCTGGTCTTGAACTCTTGGGCTCAAGTGATCCTCCAACCTCGCCTCCTTATGGGACCACCATTGTATATGTGGTCCATCATTGACTGAAATGTTGCTAAGTGGTTTATGACATAATTTATCCTTTTAATCACCTAAATAGTATATCAGTATGTGGATAAACTATTACTGATTTAGCCAGTGTGATATGGTGGTCAAGAGCAAGAGCTATAGGACCCAACTCCAAAGCTTGAATCCCAGCTCTGCCACTTAATAACTATGAGAATTTGGACAAGATTGTGAACTTATCAGTGTTGCAGTTTCCTGGCCATAGTAATTATTGTGGCAGGCTAGAGTTTGTAGCTCACTTGTTGAGGTCGTCTTTGCATATTTGTCATTAAAGGACAGCGAGGATAAAACACACCCTACCTCACTTCCCTGTTGAGGAAGGTAGAGCAGGGAGGAGGGAGCAGGAACAGGAAAACAGGAGGAGGATGTAGCTTTAAATGGGATGGAGAGGAAAGGACCAGGGTAGATCCCACTGAGAAGGGAGCATTCTTGAAAGACCTGAAAGAGGACAGGAAATGAGATAGGTAAACACCTGGAAGAAGAGAATTCTAGGCAGAATCAAAGGCCTTGAGGCAGGAGCATGCGTGGTCTGTTGAAGGAAATAGAAAAAACCCCAGTGTCTTAGAGTAGATTGAGAAAAAAGAGGAAAGCATGGGATATGAGGTCAAATGGTGCAGGGCCTTGCAGGTAAAGTGGGAGCCACAGGAAAGTTCTGAGCTAAGGAATAACGTGACAAAACTGATGTTTTGAAAAGATCACTTGCCGCTATTTTGAGATTAAACATTAGGAAGCTAAAAATAGACACAGGGAGACTGTGGGCCTATGCAATAGTCCAGGTAAGAGACGAAGGCCATATGGTAAATAGTTATACTATAAATATATACATTGAATAAAAATAATGTTTGCTAATAGAGAGTGGAGTGTGAGAAAAAGAAAAAAGTCAAGGATGGCACCAGTATTTTGTGGCTACAGCAAATGGAGTAATAGAGATGACATTTATTAGGATGGGAAGACTGTATGGGAAGCATGTCTGGGGAGTTTGAAATCCAAGCTGGAGGTTCCTGTTGTACATCCCAGTGGAGCTGTCAGGTAAGAAGTTAGGTATTCACAATGTGGCATCCATAGGAGGGATCTGGCTGAAAATGACAGAGTAGCCAATGTTTTTAAAACCGTGAGACAGTATGACAGCTTTCTTAGTTTTCTGTTTTTGTCACAATAAATCAGCACTAATGTAGGCACTAAGAACAAAACCAATTTATTATTTTAAAATACTGGAAGTCAGAATTCTGGTACAAGCCTAATTGGAAAAAAGTCCTCGTGTCGCTAAGGTATGTTCCTTTTTGCTCATTCTGGCTATTGCCAGAATGTAGTTCTTTGTGGTTTTAAGATTGAGATCTTCATTTTCTTGCTGTATATAAACTGAGATCCTTTCCTAGCTTCTAGAGCCTACTGCATTTCCTTGACTTGAGGTCCCCTTACTCCATCTTCAAGGCCAAAAACAGTGGAACAAGTTTTCACCTTGTGTGTCCCTGACTTACTTTTCTTCTTCTTCTTCCAATTTTTAGGACTCATGTGATTATACTGAGCTGACCCAGATAACGCAGGATAATTCACATCTCAAGACCCTTAAACTTGATGACATCTGCAAAGTCCCTTTTGCCGTAAGGTTATATTAGCATAGGGTCCAGGAATTAGTGCAGAGCCACAATCTCAGGAAGAAAATGAAAGTGGATAATGAATACAGATCATCTGGGTGTAAACTTGAGGATATTCCAGAATATAGAGGTTAGAGAGATAAGACAGAAACTAGTAAGGAGACTAAGGAGCAGTCCCTAAGTAGAAGGAAAAGAATGGTGAATGGTGATTGGAGGTGAAGACAGTTCCAAGGGAGGGTATGTTAATTGCTGATGACACATCAAGGAAGGTGAGGACTGAGCATTGACCATTGGATTTAGCAACATGGAGTTTCCTGCTGACCTGGACCCGAGCAATTTTAATGGAGCAGTGGGGGCAATGCATGACAGAAGAGAAATCAAGACAGAAGGGACTTTTTCAAAAAAAGGTATACAAATGGTTAATGTGCAACATGGAAAGGTGTTCAATGATATTGTCATTTGGGAAATGAAAATCAAAAGCACAATGAGTTACCAGTTCACACACACTCAGAAGGCAATAATCAAAGAAATGGACAATAGCAAGGGTTGGGAAGGATGTGGAGATGTTCTCCCACATTGCTGGTGGAATGTAAAAATGGTGAAGGTGAAGGTGGAAAAATGGAAATGAAGTATTGAGAGGGAGATAGAATATGAGAAGCTTTCTGACAGATAAAACCCAATGGAACAAACTGACTGACTGGGCATCTGAAATGAGTAACAAGGAGTCAAAAATGAGCAAAATTATGCTTCTCTGTGGATGCAAATCATATCTCCATTACTTACACTCAGGAGAACTTGCATGTAGTTAACGTCTCTGGATTTTAGCTTTTTCATGTGTACAATGGGGGATTTATTCCTCAGAGAGTTGTAGAAACTCTAAATGAGAGACTTATGAAAAACCTACTGAATGACATTATGAATAATAATATCATCAGTGGAAGGTGATTTGAGGATGTGATGCTGTTATCCCTGACATGGGCAGGAGGGAACTTGGACAAAGACCAAGGAAGAAAATATCCCTTCTCTGAATGTCTCGTCTGCATTTGAGTGCAATGTCCTTTATTCCATGTCTTCTACCCAATGAGGGCCCTACTGCCACTTAAGGGGTAATTTCTCTTTCAATCATTAGTTGTTCCAGCACCAAGAAGCTTAGCCTGAGTTGAGGCACCTGAGTCAGGAGGCCAGATCCTTGGGAGACTGACAACAGGAGGATACTCCCATCGGAATACTCCAGGATTCTAACAATATCTTAGTCTATTTGGCTACTATAACAAAATACCTTAGATGTATAAATCACTGGGCAGTTTGTATATAATAGAAATATATTTCTCACAGTCTGGAGGCTGAGAAGTCTAATACTATCAAGGCACCAGTAGATTCAGCATCTGGTAAGTCAGATTCAGGGTCTCTTCAGCTCACCTTCAGCTCCACAGATGGCATCTTATTGTGGCATCATCACATAGCGGAGGGGGAAACACTGCACTCAGTGGTGAAAGGGGAGAACAGTCTGTCCTCGCATGATGGAAGGTGGGAACACAGTGCCCTTACATGGTGGAAAGTGGGAACACCATGTCCTCACATTATGGAAGCGGGCAACACTGTGTCCTCACATGGTGGAAAGTCGGAACACCATGTCCTTACATGGTAGAAGGGGCAATACGGTGTCCTTACATGGTGGAAGCAGGGAACACTATGTTCTCACATAATGGCAGGAGAAACACCATGTCCTCATATGTTGGAAGGGGTGAACACTATGTCCTCATATGCAGAAAGGGGGTAAGACTATGTCCTCACATGGTGGAAGGGGGTAACACTGTCCTCACATGGTGAAAGGTGGGAGCATCATGTCCTCCTATGGTGGAAGGGGAAACACAATGTCTTCACACGATCCAAGGCAGGAACACTGTGTGCTCATGTGGTGGAAGTGGGGAACACTGTATTCTCACACGGTGGAAGGAGGAGCACTGTGCCCTCACATGGTTGAAGTGACAGAAGGGCAAAAGGGGTGACACTGTCCTCAAGTCATTTTTTAAGAGTACCAATCCCATTCATGGGACCTAATCACCTCCTAAAAGCCTATTCTTCTTCATGCTTTTGCACTGGGTATTAAGTTCCAACATGAAACATCCAAACCACAGCAAGGATCTTCAGTGACCCTTGTCATGAGGGAAAAAGATGGGAGCTTTGCAATCATCCAGTATTGGATCTAAGGCTTTGCTCTGCCACCAACTAGTTTTGAATACTGTTGACCAATACCAACTATAGTAGGCTCTTATAACAATTAAAAGGAATATCAGAGTAAAATGTGTATTTATAATGTACTGTTTTAAATAAGAAGAAAATATAAATAAAAATTTATTGGGTCCTTTGAATGCAGAGGACTTTTAAGTTTGATATCATTGGAAGAAATCATAAACAAGAAGAGCAAAACATTTAGTATTTTAAAATTAAAAATGTATTTAAAAAATAACTAAAAAGAATAATACTTGCAAAGTGCCTGGAACAAAAACTGGTTCAAACAACCTCAAAAGCCTTGTTCCTCTTTTTTGTTTGTTTGGTTTGGTTTTTTGTTGCCTTTGGTGCAATGGGAAGGTCAGTTGGGTGATCACATCTTACGCTGCCCCAGGGCTAATGTGCACTGATACCCAGTAATGTCCACTCACCTGGGAAGCCAGTGAGGAGACTGGTACACCCTTAGCCTTCTGCTCAGCCTAAAGGGAAAGACGGCAGAAATGAAGCCCTGCTATGGATCTTCTCCCTCCTGCCTCATCCGCCCACCATCCAGTAGGCACCTAGCATTATGTCCTAGTGCTCCATCTCTTAGCAGGGACTCTGTTCAGATCTTTGTTTTCTGTGGGTGGCAATGAGGAAATGAGCTCACCTGAGCCATGATGGAAACTAAGAGGCCCAAGGATCTGGGCCACCAGACATGCCACAGCAGCTCGTGGTACTAGAGTTAGCCCATCTCTGCGTAAAAGCTGGGACTCAAATAGGAGGCAGAGGCTGCAAGAAGCTGAGGACCCCTCAGGAGGAAAGAAACACCCACATACCATGGTGGAAGAATGGCCAGGTTCATAATAAGAGGTGGATAAGGGAGTAAGGAAGTCTCCAATTAGGACCTCGGGCCATGCATAGTCAAGGGAGGTCATTGTGTCCACTCCTGTTTCCAAGTAGAGCCACACCAGACAGTCTGTCAGTAACCCCTGTGCTGCATCTGCCTCTGCTGACCCCATGGGATGGGAACAAGGTGGCCCAGACCCTTTGCACCAAGAAGTACTTGTCTCCTCAGCCCTATTCCCCCACAGCCCCACATCCTCCTGAGAGAGCCCAGGTTAGTCCTACAGGAAGACACATGACCTTCCCAGGACACAGTTCCTGTGGCAGGAGCTGTACATAGTGTCCAAAGTGTTCAGAAAAGTCAGATGTGGGAGAGATCATGTTTAAACCTTTGAGATCCAGAGAGCTCCATGGAACAAGCATCTTGGGAAGAGCTTCGAGCATCACAGTGGTATTTCAGCAGGCAGGAGTGAGGGTGAGGAACAGGGAGAAGGAACTTTCGTTTCAGGCAGAGGGATGCAAGTGAGCAAGAAGTGGATGACTTAGGGTTTGGGGCCAGCATGGCTACTGGGGTATTAAGGGTCAGAATAAGAAGAGGTTGGAGAGGGCTGGGTCAGACCTTCTCAACAGCTTCACCCATCAGAGCCCAAGTAGCCCTCATCAAGGGGGTGTGGAAGGATATCACACTTCTGTTCTTATAGCCAAGTGCCCTATACTAGGCCAAGGAAAGAGCTGAGGCTGTTTTCCTAAGACAACCTCCAACTGTGGCCTCTTAGGGTCATTCTCTGAGACACAGAGACGAGGAAGGTTTTGAGATGATACAAAATTCTCTTTCCACTCTACAGGAAGTTGAGTTTGGATCCACAGGAGAAAAGAAAGGTGGCTTTGGTTCAGTTGTATAATGTGCACTAGACACCCTTCCCCCACCCACCAACCTGCATGCACACACACACTGCCTGATACCCCCAAGGGAGCCCTACACAAAATCTGCAAAGGAAGCCTCGACCTGTTCCTTTATGGGCTCCTACCCACCCATGATATCCTCTAACTCATCATCCAGAAGCCAGGTTCTATGTCCCACCTCTGCAGCACAGTCAACACCTCTGCACAGTTCCCATGTCTGGGCTTGTGTCCTCAGAATTACACACACCAGTGACATGGCAGAGGTGGTGGGGATTTGCCACCTTTGCAATCAGACAGGGTCCCCTTGGGAAGGCTTCTGAAAGAGAGCGGTCAGGAGCAATGTCAATGACAAGGGGAAGAATCTTTGCTCAAGTGTAAGTGCATCTTTGGGAGGTGTCACAGAATGCAAACAGGCCATGGGTACATAGAACTGTGGCTATGAGATCAGAGTAACACAGATGGGGCATTGGGAACTGAACCAGCACTGGGAAACGCGGGGGCTGCAGGCTTCAGGCTCAGAGTACAGGTGTCCTGGGAGTGTCAGATCCTCTTGCTTCCTCCAATCGAATGATCTTAATGGCCTGGCCTGGTCAATGATAATGAACCTCACTGCAGATAGGAGTGAGAGACGCTTTTTTCCAGATGTTGTTCACTGATGCCCTGGATTACAAGACAGAGGGTTGTTGGATCTGCTAAGGGATAGAAAGGATGTGGAGGGACCCACAGAGCCAATACCCACTGACATGCACTGCTCATGACTTCCTCCAAAGTGTCCAGCACTACACCACACCCAGATGTAAATTTTCTTGGTAAATGCTGTTGATTGTCCACATATAGATAAACAGACAGTGTGGTCAGAAATGGCAGGTCCTGGAATTAGAAACCCAAGACTGGGCAGAGAGACCTGGGAGTTGCCAGGGTGGCCAGTGCCCCAGCCCTTACTTTGTTCTCACCCTTCGGAGACACTTGCTGCCTGAGATCTTCATATTGATTGACATCATCATCGACCCCATGGTTCTCCTACAATTCTCTACCTGAGAAAATCAAAGCTTGAATCTGTGCCGTAGAAAACTGTATCCCTCCCCACTGCCATGAACCCCAAGGCCAAGGCCACACCTACCATCCCTCTGCAGAGTCCACTCCCTGGAAGAAAAATTCAGGAGAAAGGAAGGTGAGGTTCTAGTGAGGCAGGGGAGGTGTCTGGGTATGGAAGGAGAAATGCAACTTGCCTCTTCCTATATTCATCATCTTCTTCTTCTTCTTCCCACATGTCTTCAAAAGACACAGCCCAGTTCCCAGGACCAAGAGCATACTCACAACAGCCCCTAGGATGGCTGGGAGCAGTCTAACCATATCCTGTTTGTATGAACCTGTTTCTGTCACATGGGGAGAGTGGAAAATGTTAAGGCAGGAGATAACTTGAGATGCTCATTACCAAGAGGAGACAGAGGGAGAAAGCAGGTAGAGCAGTGGGAAGGAGCCCGGTGCCAAAGCTGAAGAGGGAGGAGCATGGCAGATCCATTCATTCAACTGGTTAGGAGCTGCTGCTTGGTACCAGGGATGCTGAGAAGCACAAGACAATGTCCACAGCAGCCCAGCACACAGGAAGGAAGACAGAAAATACCAACTTACAGACAGAAGGATCACAGCTGCAATAGTGGTTTCCACCTTATATAAGGTCTTCAGGGAGGGCCTCCCAGAGGAGGTGCTGGCTAAACTGAATGTGAGATTCTCAGATATTCAGGGTAGGGATTCAAGGAAACAGGAGCACCAAGTTCAGGAAATGTTTGTGTCAAAACACGAGCCCTGGGAGTTGCCGGCACCCCGCTGTAGCAGGAGAGAGACGGAGGAGGGAGGAGCTGTGGCAAGGGGAGTCAGATGGAGGCAGGAGTCTGTGCCCAGAGGGCCTTGTGGTCATGCTAAATGCTGAACACTCCAGGATGGGGGTGAGAGAGGAGGTGACAGGCAGTTTAAAGTGATGCTGACACATCAGATCCCCCAGCAGCTCCTGGAGGGAGGGTTGGAGAGGATGAGGCTGCACGCAGGGTATCATTCATTCAGTGAACACTGATTGTGAGCAAATGTTGCCAGGAGCTGTGCTTGGCACAGGGATCCAAAGGAAAACATCAAGACATTGCAGTCCACAGGGCAGACAGTGACATAAACACGTCATTACTACTCAGTGTGAGGTGCCGTGGGTGGCTCCCTAAGGAGGTGGGGCCTGAGGGCAGAACTCGATACATCATTTTCATTTTCAGGGCCCTGTGCAATGCAAATTTAAATTCCCTTGATTAAAAAGGATTAAAACTTCAAGGAAGGAATAGCAGAGTTTTAACCCATTGTGGAATCCTGTGAAGTGTGGGACCCTGTGTGACTGCATCTGTCTTGTGCCCATAAAGCCTGTCATAGCTTAGGGAAATGCTTGGAAAGGAATAAAAGAGGAAGTGTCGGCCACTGGGTGTGGGAGGGCTGATGGGGGTAAGAAACAGCATGTTCTGAAGCTCAGAAGCTTACGGAAAACAAGACATATTTTGGGAAATGAAAGAAAGGAGTTTGGTGTGAAGTGCACAGGTGAAGCCAGAAACATGGGCAAAGGAGCATCTGAGCCCCGAATTCCATGGGGGAGTAACTGCAGGCCAGATCACACAGAAGACACAGACAACAACCCAATTTGACCCACTTCTCCCAAAGCCCACTCTGGATGTTCAGTGGAGGATGGATGGGGTGGGAGAGCTGTCCGAATCGGCAGGGACATGGTGGGGATGCGGCGAGGAGGGTACGGATGGGAGAGATGATTAAAGGCAGAACGGAGGTGGATGTGACTCCCACACTGCTGTGTGTGGTGAGCACATGGAAGGTGGTGGTAATGCACATGGCAGAGAAGAGAGCCCAGAACCCTCAGACCCCAGTGCTACCTGAGATTGGGCAGCCCCTCCTATCCTGCAGGCTACACTCACCACTCACCTTGGACACAGACTTTTCTAAAGTCTAAGATTGCAGCTTTCTGATCTGCCTGGTTGCTGACCACACAGGTGAGGTGGGTGTTGCACTGGCACAGGGGCAGGTTCACAGCCAGTGTCCAGGGGTTGGAGGCTGGTCCTGGTGTTTCTCTCTGCAGCTCTCTGAGGAGGCCCTTGCTCTCCCAAGTCACATTCAGGTACTCTGTGGTCCCTGGAGCCCTACACTCCAGGGTGATGTTACACAGGTCTGGTGTGATAGACTGTGACTTTGCCAGGATCTCAGGGTGAGGCACAGGCTCTGGGGCAGAAGGGGACAAAAGAGGGGAATCTCACATATGTGGAGAACATTGCATGTCTAACTTTCTCATAATTTTCTCGTTGCAGCCTTGGCATGCGCCATATAAGGAAAGTGAGTGTATTCTACAGATGAAACACAATTTGCCCAAAGCTAAATATGGAGCAAATGAAATAAGAAAGGAAGCCACTGAGTTCAACTCCATGTGGGTTCCCTGATTCAACATGTCTTAAAACTGTCCCAAAGAAAATAAAATCTGGACATGTGATGCAGTGTTTTCAGAATATCAGGGTCTTTCCAAGAAGGGGAAGAAGTCTGGGGAAGAAAAGCTTGTGCTGGCCCAGAGTCCCTCCTGTGTGTCTCCAGCTTAGGCCATGCCTGAGACTGCATAGCCCTTGTGGGGCAGTACGTCAGGTCAGCTCCGGGAGGCCAGAGAAAGGCCCATGATCCCTAAAGTAGACACGTCTGTGGGAGATGAGGTGATAGTGACTGGGAACAATGACTCTTACTGTGCTTAGAAAGTGCCACTGGAACCTGTGGTGCAGACAGAAGAGAAGAATCCAATTCACAGGCCAGCCTGAGAAATCACGTGGGACCTAAAGCTGTAAAACCCACTCTCTCCATGGCAGGATATTTCCCTCTGCAGAGAGGAACTTTAGGGAAAGAAAGAGTTGGTAAATGGGTTCCCTAAGAAGTGTTGTGGTGTAAACTTTCTCCTACACCTGTGGAGGCTTTGAGAGCTAGATTTGTGGTGGCTTGCGTGACTGAAGCTGGCTTTGGGCTGGGGCTGAGTGAGAGCAGAGAGGACTGGGAGGACTCCATTCACAGGGATTCCCAACTATGGTAGGCAGAACGGTGGCCTCCAAAATGTCCAAGACCTATCCTGGTAACCTAGGAATAGGTTAGACAGCAAGAGAAGAGGAATTAAGGTTGATGAAATTAAGATGGAATTAAGGTTGCTAATCAGCTGACTATTCATTCCCAGACACTAACATCAGTGTTCGATTAGGAGATACAGGAAGATGGCCATGAACCATGGGATGCCAGCAGCCACTAGCAGGTGAAAAAACAAGTTCTCCCCTGGAGTCCCCAGAAAGAACACAGCTTGAAACCACCTTCATTTTAGCTCCCGGAGACTTGTGTCAGGCCTCTGGCCTACAGCACAATGAGATAATAAATTTGTCTTGCTTTCAGCCAACAATTTTTGACAATTTGTTACATCAGCAATAAAAAATTACTATACAAATTAAGTGACATTAATCATATATAGGATGATTAATGTTATTGAAAAAATTGCTATTTTTCAGAATTTCCATTTCCTCTCCCAAAACACTGAAAGAACTTCATTCCCTGGTGTGAATCTCAGCTCTGCTCTATCTCTGGGGACCTCACAAGCTTTATTTTTAGCGGAGAAAATGGAGTCTGAAGGCCAGTGCCTGAATGCAACCCTGTGTGGGGCCTATGTGACACTCTAGGGACAAAGAAAGCAGGTAAGCCAGAGCATGGGGGAGGGGTGTCACTCACCATAGACAGTGAGGTAGAAAATCTACACAATCCCATCTCCCCCACTAGAGATGAGGGCAAAGTACTGCCCACTGTCCTCAAGGGCCAGGTTCTCAATCCTCAGGGATGACATGCTGGGTACATGGATGCTCTGCTTGAACTTGTCCTGGAGTTTCAACCAGGTTGGAGAATCGGCCCCGCTGTGGACTTGCAGAAGCTGTGTATGATTTGACAGAGTGCCCAAAGCCCACAGAACCTCCTCCAGCTCAGCACCTACATCTACTCTGAGCTTCTCAATCACATGCAACAAGACAGAACCTCCTCGGATCCCCTTCAGATGAATGGGGGCTCCAGAATCCTTCACTGCAGAGCCATGTGCTCCAGAAGTGTTGGCTGCCGTGCTGCAGACACCTAGGGCATGGAAACAGGAAATATGAGTATTTCCTCATCAAGAACAAATGACAGAACCACAGAACTTTGGTTCAGAGTCACAGAAATCCATCCAAAATCCTCCCTTGATTCTGGGAGGGCTGCCTAGCATAATGGACTTGAAGCAATTCTGGAATCAAGTCCTGGTTCTAGTGGAGTGTGATCTTGAACAGGTTCCTGAACCCCCTTGATCTTCAGTTTTCTTACCTGCCCCATAATGACAGTAAGGATCAAATGAGATCCTAGATCAAAAGCACCTAGCACGCTTTCTGGCATGTGCTAAGTGCATAACTGCAGGAGGCAGCTTCTAACGTGGCTCCCAAGGATGCCTCCCCAGTGTGTGCACACCCCTGTGTAATGCCCTCCCCTGGAGTATGGGCTGCATTGATTACTTACAAATGCAACGAAAGTGATGGAGTGTCCCTTCTGTCTGGCTCACACCCTCTGACTCCATCACTGTCTCCTGCTCAGGCTGATGAATCCCACTACCACGTTGTGAGCTGCTCTGTGGAGAGGCCCAGATGGCAGGGAGCTGAGGGCAGCCTTGACCAATACCTTCATTCCAGTCTCTGCGACCTTGAGCCACAGGACCCAGCTGAACCACACCTGGATTCTGACCTCCATAAACTGTGAGACAATGAGCCACAGGACCCAGGTCCTGGGTCCTGACCTCCATAAACGGTGAAACCGTGCCCCATATTGTGTTAAGGCCCTAAGTACTAGGGTGACAGGTCACACAATACATAACTCAGGCAAAGACGAAGGTTGCTTGCCTTTGCCTTTCCTTCTAGGAAGGGAATTAGTCCAGATAGCATAGGGCAGGATAGGACAGGGCATGAATTAGCCAGGTTGTCCTGTGGCAACAATTACAAAAGCCAGGGAGTTAGAACAAGCAGAGTTTGTATATTACTCACACTACATATCCCACAAGGGATGGCGAGGGAAGGGTCATGTCACTCGTGGTTGGGGGCTCTACACCTTGTAGGAGCTCCATATGGAAACCACAGCCTCCTCACATCCTCCTCCATTCCCATAGTAGAGAAGGGAGGCAATAAGAGAGGCACCCGTGGGGCATTCACTGCACCATCCAGAAGTTATGTAACCTCTGCCCATATTTTCTGGACAGAACTAGTTAGGAGATCCTGCTAACTTCCAGGGGCTGAAAGTGTGGGGGAGCAGATGAACTGTTTGGTGGCACTGTGTCCCTGCAACCAAGAGAGCACTTCCCTATGCAGTGCCCATGAGGCCCCTGGTCAGTCTCCCTCAGTCACTGTCTCCCACAGAGCCCTGACCAGTGGGCACAGCCGCCTCAGCTCCACCTCTTTCTGAGCCCTTCCTTGTCAATCAGGCACATCCACAATGAACCCAGAGACCTCTGTCCTTCCTGGGGACCAGGGTGGGACCAGTCTGGACCAGGTCCATCTGGGTTTGTTGCTGTGCGGCAGGACACCCAGTGCTCTCCCTAATGAGTAAATTCCCACCCATTTTCAGCCTGCATGGTTCTGCTGTCCTACACCCATGCCTGGTTCTCACTGAAAGCAAATAGCTCATGCCAATCCTTAGATGTGGAAGCATTTCAAATATTTCTCTTTCCAGTTATACACTAACTCGGTTCACAAAACCCCTCCTCTGGGCCAGGCCTCCCTCCGTCCTTTCAGCTCCCTCAAGGGACTAGGCCCCACCCCAGGCTCAGCACCCCTTAACACCAGGGCCACAGGCCTTCAGGATCCACATCAGTGAGTTAGTGGTTTTGTCAGTCCATTTTTGCATTGCTATAATGAAATATCTAAGGCTACATAGTTTATAAAGAAAATATGTCTAATTGGCTCACAGTTCTGCATGCTGTACAGGAAGTGTAGAGCCAGCATCTGCTCCTGGTGGGGGCCTCAGAAAGGTCACAGTCATGGTGGAAGGCAAAGGGTAGCCAGCGTATCACATGATCAGAGCAAGGGCAAGAGAGATGGGGAGGAAGATGGCCAAATAGGAGCAGCTCTGTTCTGCAGCTCTCAGTGAGATCAATGCAGAAGGCCGGTGATTTCTGCATTTCCAACTGAGGTACCTGGCTCATCTCACTGGGAGTGGTTAGATAGTGGGTGCAGCCCATGGATGGTGAGCTGGAAGCATAAGGGTTTGGGGAACTCCCTCCCCTAGCCAAGGAAAGCCATGAGGGACCTGCCATGAAGGACTGTGCTATCTGGCCCAAATACTGTGCTTTTCCCACAGTCATAGCAACCCGCAGACCAGGAGATTCCCTCAGGTGCCTATGCCACCAGGGCCCTGGATTTCAAGCACAAAACTGGGCAACTATTTGGGTAGACACCGAGCTAGCTGCAGGATTTTTTTTTTTTTTTCATATCCCAGTGGCACAGGCAAGACAGAATGGTTCACTTCCCTGAAAAGGGGTCTGAAGCCAGGGAGCCAAGTGGTCTAGCTCAGTGGATCCCACCCCCACGGAGTCCAGCAAGCTAAGATCCACTGACTTGAAATTCTCGCTGCCAGCACAGCAGTATGAAGTCGACCTGGGATGCTTGAGCTTGGTAGGGGGAGGGGCATCTGCCATTACTGAAGTTTGAGTAGTGGTGTTCCCATCACAGTGCAAACAAAGCTGTCAGGAAGTTCAAACTGGGCAGATCCCACTACAGCTCAGCAAAACCGCAGAAGCCAGACTGCCTCTCTAGATTCCTCCTCTCTGGGCAGGGCGTCTCTGAAAGAAAGGCAGCAGCCCCAGTCAGGGGATTATAGGTAAAACTCCCATCTCCCTGGGACAGAGCACTGGAAGGAAGGGGCAGCTGTGGGCCCAGCTTCAGCAGACTTAAATGTTCCTGCCAGCAGGAACCTGTGGATCTACCAGTATAGCGCTTGAACTCTGCTGAGGGACAGACTGCCTCCCCAGGTGGGTCCCTGACCCCCATGCTTCCTGACTGGGAGACATCTCTCAGTAGGGATCGACAGACACCACACACAGGAGGGCTCCAGCTGGCATCTGGCAGGTGCCCCCCTAGGAGGAAGCTCCCAGAGGAAGGAACAGGCAGCAATCTTCGCTGTCCTGCAGCTTCTGCTGGTGATAGCCAGGAAAACAGGGTCTGGAGTGGACCTCCAACAAACTCCAGCAAACCTGCAGCAGAGGGTCCTCACTGTTAGAAGGAAAACTAACAAACAGAAAGGAATAATAGCATCAACACCAACAAAACGGATGTCCACACAGAATCCCCATCTGAAGGTCACCAACATTAAA